ATGTAGATCTACACTTTCAATTATTTTAATATCATCAAAGCTGTAAGCCACACAACCATAAGTAATTATGGCTACAATAACATCATCGATTAGTTTTAGTTGACAGGGTATTGATAAACTGTCTGCCTTTTAGCAGTGCAAATACACTGCCTTATTCGCTGGATCTACATTGTGTTTCAGAGCATATCTAAATTTATTTAATCTCTGGAAAAGTGAGCCTGGATCGATGTTCACGATGTCAATCACTGGATTGTCTGGTCCAGACTCGATTTTTTACAGACCGCCGTCATATAGCTGGAATATTGCTGAGTGCGGCGTTAAACAACAAACCAAACCAAACCAAATAAAAGATGAATGACAAACAATCAGGTGAGAAGAAATGGAGTTTAACGTCGCGTCCAAGATTATTGCACTTAAATAGCGACGTGTATGCACGTGTGTGTGTGTAGCTGCTTGTACTATTTTCGACTTGTGCCGATGTTATAGTGCTAGCCCACTGAGATAAAATGCGACAGTTTAACATGAATACCCCCTCTGACACAATACACTGACTCCGAGCCGACCAGTCCTTGCTTAAGCCCCTTAATGCCGAGCGCCAGACAGGGTAAGAACAAGTACCATCTTTTAACGTCTTTTGGAATGACGCGACCGGGTATCGCTCTGCCACTAGACCACGGAGGCGACCCTTACGATCATTGCAGCGCTAAGATCGCTTTGAGGAACGAGGCCCAGGACTTTTGTATTTTTATGCATTTCAAAGTTCATCATATGCTAATTCGCCTTTAAATTCAGTTGCATTTTTATTACTGAAGTTAGAAATATGACAATCGTTTAGAACGGAATCTTAGACGTCGACAAAAGAAACATTTACTTTACTTACCACCTTTTAACGTCTTTTGGAATGACGCGGACTGGGATCGAACCCTTGACCTTCCGCTCTCCGGACGCTGTACCACTAGACCAAGGAGGCGGTCTCCGGGCGGATGTTCTACCACTAGACCAAGGAGGCGGTCTCCGGGCGGATGCTCTACCACTAGACCACGGAGGCGGTCTCCGGGCGGACTTTCTACCACTAGACCACGGAGGCGGTCTCCGGGCGGACGCTCTACCACTAGACCACGGAGGCGGTCTCCGGGCGGATGCTCTTCCACTAGACCACGGAGGCGGTCTCCGGGCGGACTTTCTACCACTAGACCACGGAGGCGGTCTCCGGGCGGACGCTCTACCACTAGACCACGGAGGCGGTCTCCGGGCGGACTTTCTACCACTAGACCACGGAGGCGGTCTCCAGGCGGACGCTCTACCACTAGACCACGGAGGCGGTCTCCGGGCGGACGCTCTACCACTAAACCACGGAGGCGGTCTCCGGGCGGACGCTCTACCACTAGACCACGGAGGCGGTCTCCGGGCGGACGCTCTACCACCAGACCACGGAGGCGGTCTCCGGGCGGACGCTCTACCACTAGACCACGGAGGCGGTCTCCAGGCGGACGCTCTACCACTAGACCACGGAGGCGGTCTCCAGGCGGACGCTCTACCACTAGACCACGGAGGCGGTCTCCGGGCGGACGCTCTACCACTAGACCACGGAGGCGGTCTCCGGGCGGACGCTCTACCACTAGACCACGGAGGCGGTCACAAACAGTCAGCCACCAACCACATTGTCTGTACACACCCGAGCCCTGCAACTTTCCCTGTCGCGAACACCTGGTATCATCACTGAATTTCAGTGGTCAATGCATATAATTGAGGATGTTCATATTGTTTCATGGCAGTATAATGGTTGTAACTGTATTACATTGTTTGTGTTGAGATTCAGTAAAGTTCATTGTGTTTATTTAGAAAATGACTAGTTGTCAGGAATGAAAGATTATTAAATGTATGTAGTGGCAAGGAAGTAATTATATTTAGATCTCGAATTATCTGTAAACTTCCGGAATAGCATGAATCGGTTTCAAGCGTTATAGAAACACGTAGAATATTCTGTGATGTTCAAGTGACACTAGACTGGTCTGGCACTGTAGAAAGTGCTGGACGCTGTTTGGACTGTACAAGTGGGGCGGGCGCGTCCCTGTCTCATCTCACATTTCATCTGACATTACATCAAGACCAGCTTATGTGTGAGATCACCCCGGATTTTCCGCCTAGACCTATTGTAAAGCTGTTGCGACGAGGTGAAATATTGCGCTTGTCATTGTCATTTTCATTCCTCTCACATGTAATACTAAATATTGTACGACCACTCTTGTGTACTGCCATTGTAATTGCTGTGTAATTTGTATTGACTGTAAACCTAGTTAATTTTGTAGTATAACTGTTGATTGTTGTTTGTTTGTTGGTGTTACACTAAATTCTTTTACGTACAGATTTCTCGGTTTACATATTGTTTCAATTTGGGAATCAACACGTAACAATGTAAACAATCTTTAGGATTATTTTTAAAAATTACATATTTTCCGTATCTTTAAAATTTGTCTGTTCTCGTGGGACATAAAGAACCGTTTAGATACATCCGCCTTTCCCATTTACCCGTCTTGCCTATTTTGTGGTTCCTTTGCCAAAAACGCTTCTGAAAGAATAATTGCCAAAAGATTTCACAAGTCACTTAAAGTATAACTATCACGGTAGGAAAGCCCTGCTTTTTTACTTCTGTTATTGCGAATTCGTTAACATGTACAATATCACTATCTAGAGAAAGCTGGGGACGAATCAAAACAAATGTAATCTTCATGAGCGATGATGAATTGAATTACGAACTTCGGATTTTATAAGTGAGTTAGTTAGATTGTGTTCGATCCACCTTCAGCAATATTCCAGCAATATCAAAGCGATGGACTCAAGACATGGACTTTGGGGGATCGCACCCAGACCATTGGCGTGAAGAGTGGGCGGTTTAACCACTGGGGTACCCTTTCGAACTGTTTTGAGTGTTATAGAATAGTCCCCCTCAATGCGGCATTCATTTCAGACATTACACATAACGACCAACATTCGAATTGCCTCTTAACAAAATGCCCTCCAGTTAATATAATCATGGAAAGATTAAGTCACAAGGAATAAAAATCGCCAATAACAGAAAAAAAGTCTCCATTATCCGCCGGAACATTAAATTGATTTAAAAGGCAACGCAGCGGTGAAGAATTATATGAATGGATCACTGAAAACCTGTGATGACCACAGGTAATCGTGAAAAGGGTAAGCATGTCCTGAACCTATGTTTGTCTTCATGACGGCGGTCTGTAAATACTCGAGTGTGGACCAGACAATCCATTGAATGATATCATGAGCATTGATGCGCTCAATTGGGATCGATGACCTGCATCAACAAAGTCAGCGAGCCTGACCACCCGATCCCGTTAGTCGCCTTTTACCATGCTTGTCGTGTCACGTGGCTGTTTGCGTGTCACCCGGCTGTTTGAGTGTCACCTAGCTGTTTGCGTGTCACCTGGTTGTTTGCGTGTCACCTGCTGTGTGCGTGTCTCCTGGCTGTTTGAGTGTCACCTGGTTGTTTGAGTGTCATCTGGTTGTTTGGGTGTCAACTGGCTGTTTGAGTGTCACCTGGTTGTTTGAGTGTCACCTGGTTGTTTGAGTGTCATCTGGTTGTTTGGGTGTCAACTGGCTGTTTGCGTGTCACCTGGTTGTTTGAGTGTCACCTGGTTGTTTGAGTGTCATCTGGTTGTTTGGGTGTCAACTGGCTGTTTGAGTGTCACCTGGCTGTTTGAGTGTCATCTGGTTGTTTGAGTGTCACCTGGTTGTTTGAGTGTCACCTGGTTGTTTGGGTGTCACCTGGCTGTTTGAGTGTCACCTGCTTGTTTGAGTGTCACGTGGTTGTTTGAGTGTCACCTGGCTGTTTTAGTGCCACTTTGATGTTTGAGTGTCACGTGGCTGTTTGAGTGTCTCCTGGCTGTTTGAGTGTCACCTGACTGTTTGGGTGTCACCAGGTTGTTTGAGAGTGACCTGTTTGTTTGAGTGTCACCTGGTTGTTTGAGAGTGACCTGGTTGTTTGATTGTCATCTGGCTGTTTGAGTATCACCTGGTTGTTTGAGTGTCCCTTGGTTGTTTGAGTGTCACGTGGCTGTTTGCATGTCACCTGGCTGTTTGGGTGTCACCTGTTTGTTTGAGTGTTTCCTGGTTGTTTGAGTGTCACCTGGCTGTTTGAGTGTCACGTGGCTGTTTGAGTGTTACCTGACTGTTTGAGTGACACCTGGTTGTTTGAGTGTCTCCTGGTTGTTTGATTGTCACCTGAATGTTTGAGTGTTGTCGGACCCAGGTAATTAACGCAGATCCTCGCTCATGGTTTCCATAACAGGTTTACGTGGCCAATAATTTATTGTCAGTACACTGCCGTGATTCAGATGGACTATTGATGGCCGCGTCATTAAACAATATGGATCATTGACTATGAACGTTGTCATATTCGAAACAAGCGGAGTCATTCAATGAGACCATAGTAAAAGAATACTGCTCTGATCATGGATATGTCGTGTAAATGGAATTTCGAGTTAAGGAGGTCATATAATATGTCAGTCTACATGATGTATAGTGATGTTTTAGTTACATCATAACGTTTCAACTTAACGCTGGATACAACAGCAAATTATCGCAGTATAGACTTTTACCACTTTGGTTGAACCCAAGAGCTCTGATATAATGAGATTATAAGGGGTGATTATCAAGTCGAATCTGTGACAAGAACCCACGATCAGCGTATCCCGGCACGACTAAGGGACGTAACTCTCTTGCTGTATCACGAATGTATCAATAACAACATGGCCGTATTCAGTGAAACCCTTTCAATCCGGACGTTACCATTCCACAGATTTCATCCGGATTAACAAACAAAAACTAATAATTCTTAACGAGGAACACCTTTTGTATTCAAGAAAATGTTCACAACCGACGCGTCCCGAAAGCGGAGTTTCCAGATTTAAGATCAGGACTTATCACTGCACTGGAAGTATACATAAAGAAAAAGGCTGACAACTGACAACTTTACCTACCTGTTTTTCTTCTTCTGTGCCATTTGTGATAAGCTTGCGCAGTGTGCGTCAGGCTTTATTCGATCTTGTGCAGTTGGTGGAAACAAAAGATTATGGTCTTCATTGATTTTCAGCCTTTGCCGTGCCATCAGTGTGTTTCGATTAGGCTGCACAGCCTTCACACATACCTCTGCACGATAGACATGACATTAAATATCGATAGAAACGCACCTTATTTGGGTGCCGTAGGGTTTTAGATCGAGCAGGTGGGGAGTCACGATGTCATGAAGTAGGTCAGTCAATACATTATTGAGTGTTCGTTAAACGAAGCGTGTTAAGTCATCAAGCGATTTGGTGCAGCGTGGGATGGAACTTGTAGATCTGCCTTGAGGAACCTGTGACTGAAAACTGGCAAATGATTAAATATCGGATAGTATTACATGTAATTACGTAATGGGTTCATTTGAGCATACTCATCAGTTTTTCAAGGGATGCGTTAGGGATGAGTGGCGTAACTTTGTTTCTGTAATGTTTTCAAGTACACTTAATTAGTGGTTTCATGCTAATAACTCGACGAATTGATATCCAACTAATCTAAAATTCAGCTGGAGCTCAAAGGGCAACCATATCCATCCTTACCACACTCAAATGATCGCACCCACAGGGGATTCGGTCATATCTTGAGGGGTTCGGTCACATTTACAGGGGATTCAATTACATCCAAAGTATTCGGTTACATCCGCGAGGATTCGTTCACACCCTGAGGATGCGGTCACAACTTCAAGGGATTCGGACACACCTCCGGGAAATTCGGTCACATCATCAAGGTATTCGGTTACATCCACAGGGATTCGATCACATCCACTGTATGCGATCACACCATGAGGATGCGGTCACTACTTCAAAAGATTCGACCACACCTCCGGAGAATTCGGGTCACACCCTCAGGGCATTCAGTTACATCCGCAGGGATTCGATCACATCCACTGTATGCGATCACACCCTGAGGCTGCCGTCACAACTTCAAGGGATTCGACCACACCTCCGGAGAATTCGGGTCACACCCTCAGGGCATTCGGTTACATCCACAGGGATTCGATCACATCCACTGTATGCGATCACATCCCAAGGGATGCTGTCACACCCTCAGGGTATTCGGTCACATCGACGGTATTTGGTCACATCCACGAGGATTCAGTCACACACACGGTGATTCGGTCACGTCCACTCACACAATCACAACTCTACAAATGAAACCACGAGTGTTGTTTTCACTTCAATTGTCCTTTAAGTGCGTGCGTGCGTGCGTGCGTGCGTGCGTGAGTGCGCGTGTGTGTAAGCATGCGGGCGGGCAAGAGCGCGTGCGGGGCCGCACGACGATTTCAAATGTATATATTTGGGACGATTTCAAATGTATACTTTACGGTGAAAACCCTGTAGTCCGGACGGTACTCTTTCTAAATCTTAACATAATAAATTGTAACAATTCAAAAACATTATCATCCGGTTTAACGAAGCAAGCATTATGCATAATGTCTGAAAGCGTAATTATCTGGGTGAACTTTATCCTGTTCAGGGACCGGAATAGTGATAATTTCTACAGTACAATCACAATAAAGTATTATCGATAACATATAAGATCAAGTTTAACTGTGTGTTGCAAAGGCTATTCACTAAATGATAATCAATACAACGTGACGTATTTACAGGTAAGTCATTGGCGTGTAGGAATGTTCGGTATAAAATATCTATAGGCTACATGTTATCTGGTCCTCGTGCAAACCATCATTTCAACATGATCAATCAGCTGGACACATCCACAGGGACATTTATTGCCTGTGTGATATATGACATTTATTATAGGGCATCGATTGCCGCGCAGGTAATGTTTATACCAATGCTCTGGCCGAGCGATCTTGCTTCATATTGAAGAATATGATGGATGTGTTCGTCTCTACCTAATCTCTTGAATTTCTCAAGTAGTTGCTAAAAAATAGCTGCAAGCTGAGAAGAGGTATGAATTTTCAAAAATAATTGGATCTTATCAATAATCAATTGCCCATTTTCCGCAGCACGCTTATGAAGACAACTTGATATGTATGCTGGCGCTGTTACAACCCTTAATGTGAAAATTACTCTTAATGTAAAAATATTTTACATTAAGGGTTGCGGGTCCACCCTTGTTACAACTCTTAATGTGAAAAATACTCTTAATGTAAAAATTCTTACATTAAGGGTTGAAGTGATAGATAAAAAAAAGTTTACATTAAGGGTTATCACTACGAAATAATACTTATCGAACTTTCATGAAACTTCGCAGATTTAATTGATCGTTACTTTGTCTAGATGTGCAAATGACTAATCATTTTGAAATTCACTCTCTGGTTGTTATATTCAGGCTTCATAAAAGAGCGTATGACCCCTAACCCCTAATTTTTATCAAACTTATTGTTTTACAAAGGTTATGTTTCGATTCTCTGCAAGGTAACCTCGTTACTATCCTAATACCGTAACGACGGAAATGAGGACTCAGCCCAAGCAGATCAGACCAAGTTGGTGATGATGTTGGGTTGTTAGAATGGTCCATTAACAGAGTATTAGGCATACAATAATTGGCATTTTGTTGCAGTATTACGGATATGACAGTTAAGCATGGTCTGCCAGACTCGGTTCTATGTCACTGAACCCCAAATTTCAGCCCCGTATAAAAGTATTGGTGTTATCTTTGCATCAAAACATTTGAAGTAAAAGTGAGGCGAGTATGGTTTCAAGGAATTTATAATAATTAACAGGACCATGAACACCTTTCTTGCCTGAATTGCAATATTATTTAAGCATTCGACCTCAGTAATCTATTGCTACAATTGTTGTTGACAGTATTGCCAAACACAATAAGGTCCTCCGCACATAGAAGTAAACAAATATAAATAGTACATTCCGAATGTAACTTAACACCAAAACGACAATTGTGTTCCATTTCAGTAACCAATTCGTTTATTAAAAAAACTGACTATGGTAAGTCTTTACACATCTTCCCGAGGCAAGAGAGTTAACTGACTTTAAAAGACCAGTTTCCACCCTTGCCAAACTAGGCTGAAATTCCTGGGCTCGATCGTAGCGCCACTAGTGGCTATTACGAGTTATGTCCTTTCTATGCCTCTCCTATTGACCAATCAGATTCAACCTCTCGTATCACTTGCATTTGCTTCAAACAAAACGGTGGCGCCCAGTCAAGACGATCTGATTGATAACCAAGATCTATATTGTGATAAAACGAGTCTTACATCGCGAAGTGCATCAAATCACGTGAGCACCTTGATAAAAAGCATGAAAAGATTTAGAAAATGTCTGTTGACAACGAGTTAGCGGTGCACATGCTTTACAAATCCTGCAGTCGACCGAAATTTTAATGATACTTTACGAACCGGATTTCGATTTCGGTGCAAGATTTTGATTGGACTATGCATAGACTCGTTAGTCCAGCCTAAATGTAACTCCATAATACCAGCCTAGTTCGCCAAGGGTGGAAACTGGACTTTTATAGTCAGTTAACTCACTTGCCTCGGGAAGATGGTCTTAACATTACTGTACATGGATTGTAATATTTTACCCAGTCTTGTATATCAATCAGTTTGACTAACGGGATCGGGTGGTCAGACTCGCTCATGATGTCGACCACTGGATTGTCTGGTCCAGACTCGATTATTTACAGCTGGTTTTTTTTCATAAAGCTGGAATATTGTTGAGTGCGGTGTTAAACAACAAACAAGTAAACAAACAAATCCAAGTACAATGATAAAAACAGTTGGGTACTGTTCCAGTGTACTCAATAAAAAATACAGCAAAAGCTCTACCCCATTTTGTCTATCTTTGTTGTCACACCAGGTCGATCTCTCCGGCTGCATATATGTAAACACACATAATGTAGCTCTACTGAAACCAAACATACTTTTATCCAACAGACTAGTAATAGCATGTTCTCTGTATCGAACATCAATAACATATCTTACCAGTGAATATTTTATCAAAAGTATACCTCCCGAATACCTCCCGAACTTGAACTTTTTTGTGGCTGGTAATTTTCTATTGACTATGTTTCATATAAAGCAACACTGTCATGTTCAGGTACAAAAGAAACAAAGCCAATGTCGGACAGTTTGATGGTTAAATCTTCTATATTCCTTGCAATGTAAGATATGCTTTTGCACAACCTTCATCCTTGACGACAGCACCCGCTCCTGATCCACAGTTGACGATGTTCCACTTGTCGCGATCTGCAACTGGAGCCGACAACTGATGCTCATCACCTTCCAGAGTAGAAGCTGACATTTCCTCAATAACGAGCCTGCCATTCTTATTATAGCCCCTCCTGTTCTCAGGTCTGAGCAAAGTCAGTTTCTCACGCTGTCGCTTATTACGAATAATTGCAGGAAACCGAGCAAAAAACAATATAAAACGTGAAAATAGCAAAAACTATCCTATATTTCAAATCAAACTTTGTTTTATAAGAATATTTTATATTAAGTGGCGATACGTACGATATTAACTCTAATTTTTACATTAAGGGTTGCGGGTTGTTACTCTTAATGTACATTTTTTTACATTAAGAATTAACAGGTAACCCTTAATATAATTTTTTTTACATTAAGAGTACTTTTTACATTAAGGGTTGTAACGTGTAGCGTGTTGCAATCATCCAGTATAACAGGTTACACAGCCAGACAACATGTGCTAACAATGACGCTGTCTTTCGAGAATAATCTGCAAGGAATGACGGAGTATCTGTCAAATAATAATACCAATAATGCTAAAACCTTAATGAGACTTCCAAAACAATGTCACTGGATGCCCAGCTTTGGCAAAAACACATTATCTCGAGCGGCTTGATGGAGTTGTTCGGTCATTTTATTACCGTGTTCGCCATGTACAACCCCGAATATGTAGAGGGCGTCATGGAAAATGATAAATACAAAATTCATGGAATAGACCCGTATATACAGCCTCATACCTGTCAAGGACAACAAACCTGCTGTACATTTTATTCAGTGTGAATTCAAGTTTTATTCCGAGATCCCTTTGGAGAATACGGGCCACGGTTTCTGTGATGCGCCAGAAGATTAACAGTCATCATCTAATCCTACGGAACAGAACTTTATAACATTTCAGGCC